TGAGCCTGACTTATAGATACCTGGTTCGTGTTTTGTGTATTTGTTGCTAAAAGCCCCATTCAGTAATATTCCTGACGGAGGTCTGTCAGGTATCGAGTCTCAACCAAACAATCCAGACATCGTGAACATCAATCAACGCAAATGGAACACGATGACAACAACAAAGTGAGATCTCATCAGCCGCCTCTTACGACAAAACATGCGTTGCTGAAGACCGATCCATAGCACAAGTGTTTCAGTGATACCACGTGCCAGAAAGTACTGTTGGAATCATTGAGTCAACTCAAATACGATCTTTGGTCGTCTGCCTAGGGGTTTCACTAATCTTGAAAATGGCTGCCATCTGTTAATGGGGTTTGAGATTTACTTAGAGCGGTGGAGTAACTAGCCAGTGATTAAAGCATTTTCTCGTCATGCCTATGGCCAATGTTGGATTCCCTAAACGGGTTCAACATATGAAACACTTTTTTTCCGGCTTCCACCGCCGTGGCATCGCTGGGATATTCCTGAACGCATAAAGCCCAACTTACTCACTCACTCTCTTACCTCTGTGACTGAATTGGCCATTGCCAAAACAATTCAAGACCTTTTAATTAACAACTTAATATTGTGTTGTTGTTATCTATGTCCGCTATACAAAGGTTTCGGAATACCGAGGTACAGTCTATAGAGGCTCTGCTGAATGTCTGACTAATGACCACAGCGAGCTGCTAAGGACCAGCTATTCTTTCGTAAATCTCTCACGGATATTATAACCGTTTAGAGGAAGATCAATATGATGGTAATTCAACTGATTCGGGTCATTTAAATTCAGAAACTATCGTTTCTATTGCTCTTTAAGTCTAGATTTGTTACTTAGGGGATGGAATATTTAGTTGCCAAGGGGTATTTCAACGAAACTAACAGCATTATTTATGTTTGATGTATGCTGTTATCTGTGCTATGATATTTGGGTATTTCTCACAATCGAATAATGCCGCTGGGAAGTGAATTAAAATGAATACAAATTGTACTGCAGTGTTTACAACGATTTCGACGTCACCCCATGGAACGTCTTTACTGCCGTTTGTCTGGCGATTTGAACCCCTTATGTTGTACAGGAGCACTTAAATTGATTTTATTAGGATAAAAGCATTGAATAAAATTCTATTAACATCTTTTTTATAATAGCGTATCGCTGTCACTTGAGAAATAAATAACTGGATGCAGCTACATTAATCTCAGGCAACACCTACGGTAATTAATGTCGAGCGTTTTGCAACCATATGTGCACTACATCACGTTGTAGTGCAGAATTAATATTTCCTGATCGACCTTTATATGTGAACAGGCCTGTTCTTGCGCTCTACGATTTTTCGTTACACTTCGTAGATGCACTTGAAAAATACATGTCAGCATTGGATACATACCTGGTATAGACTTGGTAAGTACAGAGGGGTATAACTGTATCGTTTTGGGGCCTCCACACTTAAATCTACAGATGTCTGTATATATACCGCTATATAAAATGTGAATGTTCTTTGACGCCGAAATCGGCAAAAGTCGACACGTATTTACGCATATTATTTTAATTCAAATTTTCCTCTTATTCTTCTATTTTCCTTAATTTGAATTTGAAAGATGTTTCCGATTAAAGCAGCGGTCAGTTTGTAGAGCGTAATCTGTTGCTCAGAAGGGTATTCTTGTGTTAAAAAACAAATTGGTTTAATGAAGACTGGTGTGAGTAAAGAATTCGTAGGCACGGCACGGCACCCTACCATGTTTTAAAAATAAATTTGTCCCGAAAATGCAAACATAATTGATTACAACAACAAAATTAGAACCATATAGACTAAGCGGAGGGATTTGAGGTAACCCAGTGGTTAAAGCGTTCGCTCGTCACGTCGAAGACCAGGGTTTGATTCCCCACTTGCGTACAATGTGTGAAGTCCAATTCTTTCCGAATGGTCTAATGGTTGTCAATTGACAGTACGAAACCGATAATGATTGATTGAATAATAAATTTCCGAGCTAAACATCCCCAAATTAGCCAACTATTACGACTGTCAACAGCTGTGACAGCCAAGCATGGTTGTACACTGGGTCCGGTCTAGTAAAGTCATACTTGGCGGTCGTGCAATTTGTAACCAGAACTGGCTCTTGAACACACGCTTGTCATCGGAAATCAGGTCTAGAAGTAACCTGGTCCCTGATTCGCATATTGCAAGTTGTCGGGCGCAAACGGAGCCGGGAACCAGCTTAGTCTCGGAAGTAGCGCTTCAAGCGAGACTTACAGGTCCTTTTTATCCTAGTACGCTGGGCATGGGCCAATATATACATACTTTTATTCCTCTTGAAGAGAGTACAGTGATACTGCTGGAGTTACATTAAATGATGATTACAGTGAACATTGAAGTGTGACAAATGCGACAATGTGTCAAATGCGACAACCGCGGTATTAAGATGCGTGTCCCTGTAGGTGCACGTTCAGGGCATACAGTCCTCTGACAATCACTTTGGAATAGTCCATGATTGTCTATGGAGTCCATTTCTATGGGAGGCTTACATGACAGCAGACTGGGGGTCAGGTCATAGTCTGCTTTGGCGTGCAGTTTGACACTACACTCCACTGGTGAGACACAAATGATTTTGCACCATACATCTTCTCTGAAGTCCTCTAAACTGGTACAGTGGCATATCCAGTTTGATGATGAGATCACCATACATTTGACCGCACATCTCACATCGTCCACAAGCAGCTCCTGGTCTCCATGCAGCACAAAGGTTCACCACGAATCTGGCAGCAGTCTTCAGTGAAGTACACACCTTCGCAACCCTCCAGGCCATGTGAGGGGTGATGTCTGGGTGAATGTCCAGGAAGTGACGTGTGTCTGGTTCCGCAGCTAACCTTTGCTTCCACGCTTCTAGTTCATAGCCTAACTGTCTCCTTTACTTTCCTTTTCCATAGCTTCTGAGCCATAAACGAACCGGATGTAACAAATCTTTCAAGGTGTCCATACTTTAAAAGTACCCTGTATATGTCCTGGACAAAACCTGAGCTGGATGCAGCACAGTAGTATCGGTGAAGCGAGAGTGTCTTGTCAAAAACAACTTCTTTGGAAGGAGGTGGTTTGCACAGAGACAAAGATGCCCGAGGATGAACGATTTTCGTATATTTATGGTGGCTTCAACTGGGAGCCAACCCAGGAGGGAATTAACTATGTCCGTTCTGGTACGTCGAGGAACACCTTGTGCTAGTTTCAGAGCAAAACGTTGGGCACTTTCAAGAGCAATGATTTCATGAGAGGACAGTTTCGACCAGAGTTCACAACCAAAGAGGGCTTTTGGGATGCAAACATACTGAATCAGTTTAGAGCTGGTTAGGGGGTTCAGTGCTTTAGCGTGGAGACCTGAGCTTATAAGGGCAGTAGATGATGACCTCAGTTTGGAGACTGCATCAAGAGTTCTCTCCCATGTATTGGTAGACGTTTCCAGGATGATCCCTACATGTTTGATTTCTGAAGTGGTCGGGATTACTTTGCCATAGAGTCGAAATTCTTTTGAGTCCATTTCCTTTTTTGAGAACCACATCAGTTTGCTTTTAGAGGGCTAGAATGTAAATCGCCAACTCGCATTATATGCCTCACATATTGATCATTGCATGTGCTGCACACACGTTAAGGGGGCGGTGGGGTAGCCTAGTGGTTAAAGCGTTGGCTCGTCACGCCGAAGACCCGGGTTCGAATCCCCACATGGGCACATTGTATGAAACCCATTTCTGGTGTCCCCCGCCGTGATATTGCTGGAATATTGCTAAAAACGGCGTAAAACCATACTCACTCACTCACTCACACACGTTGAGACCGGGCTCATGATAGCTATGTCGTCTGCTTAAGTTCGGGACGAGATATGTAGGTCAATTACAATGGCACCTTTGTTGCTGGTGGACAGTTGCTCGAGGAGTTGATTTATGTATAAGAGGTAGAGCTTAGCGGAAAACACACTGCCTTGTCGAACACCTCTGTACAGTGGGAACTGTGTTATTACAGAGGATACTTTGTTATTAAGAAATACACAACTTTCCTCTGAGGTATAAATGTTGTCAAATATTGTCCATAGGCTGTCAATGATTCCTATATTGTGCAGAGGGCTTGATTCGACCACACACCCGTTTTGTGCGGACACATCCTCATCCATTTGTGTCAAGATCGTTTAGTTGAGAGTCAAATCGAGTTTCAATCGACTTGCAGAAATAATAATAAAGAATTGGTAGGTGTCATGAGTGGTGATCGATAGGCCAATCATACATGATTATGTTTACATTAAGTTTTTATCGATTGGATATGATGGTAGCGTAGCGATCGGCAAAGGAGCCGGATGGGGTACTCCAAAGTGTCCCGCCTTGTCATAATATATTACGCTGTGAAGCATTTCGAGTCAGGGGTCATCTCAAAAGTTTTATATGTTTCTTAAAATCATTAATCCTCGCAAAGACACGAGGGCCTGTGAGTCAAATCGCTCCATACCGTGGTTTACAGTTTCTTGCACAATGAACGATGTGTCACAGGAGGACAATCCTTTCATAAAGCCGCACTGTTGATTGGATAGGAACATATTACTGTCTGTGAGCTGGGGTATCCTTTTGCTGATGACCATTTCAAAAACTTGTACATCACTGGCAGTAGAGTAACGCCACGATATGAGTCTGGAGAAGTACGGGGTTTCTTTGCGGATGGTAACTTGGCTCAGAATGCCTGTCACTTGTAACGCTGATTCAAAAGCCAATGAAACTAACTCGTCTGAATTCAACATTCAAAACAGAGCGCCTTCGACTTATTTCAACGTAAAGTTGTATCTACGACACTGAGTGCACCTGCAGCCGAATATGGTGTCCCTATACTACTAGTTATTCCCTTTTGTGATACGATACAGAGTTGATTATTTGTGCCATTTACCCCATACAGAAATACCTGTAAACACTATTGTGAAATGTGATTGGCCATTTTTAAAGCCGTGTTAATCAAACAGGACGTAGTTGAAAGGTTTGCTTAGCTGATTTTACTCTGCATCATAAAGGAAAGTCATAATGGCGGGTGGATAATCGAGGTATTCAAGTAATACATCTTCATTGCCGGGTCCCCGTTTCACACAGCGATAGCAGTGGTATGTGTATCGTAAGTATTTCTTAAACCGGGGAGTTACGACAGTCGTAGTATTTGTAAAACGGGGCCCTGATGTCGATATTAATCTTTACGTGTTGAGGTGAGGTGAAATTGGGTTTTACGTCGTGCTTGAGAATATTTCGCCCAGGCAGGCAGGGACCAACAAGTACCATATTTTAACGTCTTTTTGGTATGAAGCGGTCGCGGACGCTCTAACCACTACACCACGGAGGCGGTCAATCTTTACGTACCTCAAGGAGGGGGTTCAGTGGAATTGTTCTTGTTTCAAATCACGATAAGGCATATTTATCATTATTGAGGATCGTTAATAGAAGTTACAAATATAGTTTCTATATCCTCATACACTTGTTGTAAATCATTACAATTATTACAAATAGCAATATTCTACAGAAACTAAGCCAATATGGCCACATTCACATACATCAAGCCCGGTTGACTCTTTTATCAGCCAGACACATAAGAAAAGTAGTCAATCATCCGAAACAAACGAAATAAGCGAAATACGACGCCACCTGCAGATCAGTCAATGGTTCCCACAAATAAATGCGTTTGTTTGTGAATCACATGCGTCATTACACATGTGTCTCTAATACAACTGAGCTTATAATCGATCCCAGTGATTGTTTTGCTGTGGAACGGACACAAATTCTCCTAAACATCGGACATGGAACAATTCCAACCTTGGCTGATGGGCGCACTTGAGTTAATGCTTTACATAGAGGCATAAAGAACCCATTGCGTGAGCAGCATTGCCTTTGTCATTTACAGTTGAAATGCATGTATGAAATAACTTACCTCAAACCATCAGGATCCGCTGATCGTGGGTTCGAATCCCAGATCCGCCTGGACTATTATTATCCCAAAATTACGAACTACACCAGATTTATTTCTCTCTTTTTTGTAATGATTTCTTTTGATTAAAGAAAGCGTTTTGTCGCTTTACAGTCATAGTGGAACACACGGTTAGGACTGTTTTATCGGTGGAACATATCATATCCTGTAATTAGATTTAGCTGTTGTGAAATATTACCCGCAGTCTCCATTTCTCAGACTGTAACCTCGTTTCGTTGAAGAATGATGTCCTCCCAGATATAAATATGTATGAAAGTTCTGAAGATAAGTGGACTTTTTGTGTTATGGCTTGATGCTGATGTTCAGATACTGTTTACAAGGATAGATTATTTTTCCCCTCTCGGAATGAAGCATATGCCAATACCAAAACCCATGTGTCCAGACACTCTACTCGCTGTGGCCAGGTGCCCATTTGACAAAATTCAACATGATATTATCATTCAAAAAGCAGAGGATGAATAAGCGTAAAACACATATTTTTGACAATTTAAACAACCTCGCCCAAGGGAAAGTCCATGGGCGGGAATATTTACTCAGAATGAAAATGCATGAAATATAATGTGTTTTTCTGTATCATGACACAAAACACTATTTCATCTATTTTAATTAGGCTAATTTAGTGTGTTATTGAACATATCTCGCCCACGGGCGAATAGAACTGGTCCATGGGCGAGAATATTTACTCTATCTCAGAACTCATGAGTCGGGAGTTGTAAAATGTATGAAAGTATGCTTACACGTATCTTTGCACAAACATTCAATATTTAACAGTATCAATATCTCGCCCGTAGGGCAACCACTTTATGCGAATACATGGGGGCAAAACAACTGACCACGTTGTAGTGTCTTAATGATTCAGTCTAAAAGGGACCGTTCATGATGTTTGGCTAGAAAAAAAAGGGGGTTTGCTGGGGTGTTGATGATATGAGCTGGTGATTTAAAGGAAGGTCACCCTTTTGTTTTGTTCGGGGGGGGGCTCATTCATTTTGTATCACTTACTTTGCACATAAATTCTAGGAGGGATCATTCGCATTGTACATGCTTCTCTATAAAAATCATCATCACCCTGCCTAGCCATCAATTATAAACGCTCCCTAATTTGGTATTTTCCTTTATCAGATGATTGTAAATACTTGTATAACCATGTAATCGTTGATATTGTACACGGTAGCAGTACGTCTTTTAAGTGGAGTGCGTGCGTGCGTAAGGCTATGCTTTGATGATTAATTTGACAATAATCTCGACTCAAAATTAGAAAATGTTACAAAATTTGGTGACAATCTAACAGGTGGGCGAGATTGTACATTTCACTGTGAGAAATCTCTTACGTTTCACAGGTCCAGATTCCATGTCTTTTTGTTGTATTACGAATCCTCCCCATAGGCTGCAACCGTCGCTGGGGCGGGTACGTCGACCATATAGCACAACGTGGAAACGATAGCTAATAAACTCCGAGCTTACTCGGCACTGCTCGCCTGTTCCTGTCATTCTGCTCGAGAGGGTTCTGCTCTCGTGACCACATTGAAGGTATTGTCTCACGTTACCACATTTCCCGTGTATGTGAACAAACGCACTTATTCTGAAATAGAAACGGACAAGCTGTTTCCACACTGTTTTGCACACCACAAACAGAAACTACCATCGGTGCGCTCGCTGACTACAGACACTCGATAACAGCACATCCATGGAAACTTACGTAAATGTAAACACGTATTTCACGTGTTAGGGTATTTTCTCAGTGAAACCTAAACGTTTCGTGAAAGAGGTGCTAGACTGGCTGTTAAGAGTGTTCTTCGATTCATACGACCTCATATACATCAGTATGTAAGCTTTGATAAACACTGGAGGGGCGGTTGGGTATCCCAGTAGTTAAAGCGTTCGCTCGTCACGCCAAAGACCCGGGTCCCGATCCACAAAGCGTTCGTAACGTTACGACCTGTCGTAACTCTATAGTTTATCACAGGCTTACGAATGTCGTAGCGCTACGAACGCTTTGTGGATCGGGACCCTGGTTTCGATTATCCACATGGTACAATGTGTGAAGCCCATTTCTGGGCTGTGATATTGTTGGAATATTGCTAAAAGCGACGTAAAACCTCACTCACTAACTAAACACTGGCTTCTAATCCATTGATGTTGGCAAATAGTATTGTGCAACACATCCATGAGAAAAACACACGAACTTGTTTTTCAACTTGCCTCTGAATAAATCAGAAGAAATAAAAAGTACAGTACTGAGCCATTTCGACGTTGCAGGATTCGTGATAGGTTTCCTGTTTGTTATGTAACGCCACACTCAGCAATATTCCAGCTATATGGCAGCTGTTTGTAAATACTCGAGTGTGGACAAGACAATCCCGTGATCAATAGCATGAGCATCGATCTACGCAACTGGGATACGATGACATGATTGTGTCAACCAAGTCAGCGAGCACGATCACCTGATGCATGGGTTGCTGAAGACGGATTGATTCGTGATAGAGAGTATTAAGATCTGACTTTTATGAGATTGCATACTAGTTTTCACACATTTTACGTGTTCCGTTTACGTGTTCCGTAACCAAGCAATGATTATAAACACTTATTCAAAAACGCAATAAGTGTTGTGCTGTCATAGTTTATGGCCAAATTCTGGAAAACTGAAATCGGAATGACTTTCAGCCCTGATCTTTTATACCACAGCTGTGTCCTTGGACTTCACTTGATTTCCCTATCAAGAGACGCGCGCCATACAAATACACAAACATTAAAACATTAAAGACCGTAGTGGACATCGTGCGTTTCTTGTACGTTGTATTTGTCGAAGTGACTGTGTGGTACCAGCTCTTATATGGCGAGCATCACGTTGCGACACACCCGGATATTATAAGTTGTTCACTGGTCACGAGAGGGGCATGGGTTGATGTACCCTCGATGTTTGTTTATGTTCCCTGAGCCCAAAATATCATTTTATATTTTAAAGATCGCTACCGACTATATGACATATAAACAAAATGGCGTCTGCATGTCGACTGGACTTTAAGTTTAAAACTGCTATAAAAATGGTTAATTATGTTTATGTTGAGTGTGCAAACGACCCAATGTATAAAATAGTTTAAATAACGCTGTGAAAGTGGGTAAACTCGAAAACAGCCAATCGTGTGGTTTTCGAAACAGCTTCTCGGAGGAGAGTTTGGCTGTTACCGTGGCAGCAGGTAATAATTTTTCCAGTTGTCACCCTCCACTTGTTAAAGCGTCATTGACCAATGAAATTAAAGTATTTCACATGATGATAAGATAAAGGGTTATACCCGGGAATGTCTATGACAATAAGAGGGCATTCTGCAACTTTTCGCAAAACTTCCAAGTTGACTGTTGTCATATGAATGTACAGGTATTATACATAGAAAATGCCATACATCTCTTGGGGCTTTGGTGCGAATATGTTTACTAAGTCAATTTTAGAAGACAAACGTTAATTACGTCCTTGTTTATTGGTTTCACACATTGTTCTCTCACGGACTGATTTCCGGTTAACGGTTTTGTTAACCAGGAATCAATACGCAGGATCATCAAACGTCCTTTAGTTCATGGTTCATGGAAACGAAGTATTCCAACTTTCGTAAGAATTTATATCACAAGAAAATAAGGGGATAGAAACACGTTTAAGTTGTTTCCACAAATCGTTCTCTATTGCATGACTGTGCGATTCTCCTTCATAACAACGTGCGTCTTTCTGTGGTTGGCTTTGAACACAGTGTTTATTAGTAGCTGTGTTGTGAACACTTGTTTCACATTGTGCAGACTGTTGCTCACATTTAAACAATCTAGAGCGTCTCCCACTTGACATGTACGTTGCATCTGCATTTAAACAATTTACTATCTACAGTAAGTGAACTTGCGCCTGGTCAATTGTAGCATAAGCATTGGCGGATCCAGAGGGGGGTTTCAGGGGGTTCGAAACCACCACCACCCCCCTTCTTTTCTTTGAAAATGAATTAAGATCACATTGAAGGGTTTTTTTGCGTTGCTGGAGCAAAAACCTTCTTGGACTTGGCTGCAGCCTTCACCTTCTTTGGTGACTTGGCAATCTTCTGAACCCCCTCCTTTCAAAATTACTGGATCCGCCCATGATTAGTTTCGTCTTCAAGATGACAAATCTCTTGTTCAGTTTTAGTAATGAAGCGCAATAGGGTATCATTAGATTATTCTAAAACGTACTGGTCATTCTGCACGTAACTGTCGAATCGAATGTCCATCATACTTCCGGTAGAGTCCTAGGTTAGATTATGACATTAGGAAGCGATTGTACATCTTTAAACTATTTCTCAAGTATATAGAGAATACATTTATTACCTTACGGTCAGAATACAATATGTGCGTACGCCCTATAGTTGTTAGAATCGTCAAACAGCCTAGGGATGACAGGTTGTTTTATTGGTGCCGCCATCTTTGTTTACGAATCTCTCGCATGGTCACGTGGTCACTGCACAGGGTGCATTTCGATTGTGACGTTATTGTAATTAAGAATAAAAGGGAGACGCTACCGTAAATCTGCCTGCATTTCTTGGAAGCTTTAAGCAGCTATACATCTATACGCAGAAATCGAAACAAAGTAAAGAGGTGAGGATGGCAGAACATTCACCAGGACTCAGTATATTTTATATAAGTAATTTGTAAATGTTAACCAGGACTTATAAGAATTAATAATAATGAATTTGGGGAATTTCTAATTAGGGTTAGCAGTCAGTTGGTACTATAGGTCGTCACGATCGGGATACACCGATTTAGAGTATTTTTCTAGGTGTCTTTTAAAGTGTATATATGTAGATATGTTACTGTATTAATAAATTATTATTGTTGTTGAAATGCATCTTGTACGTTTTTACACAAAGTTTCTAGTTGTTGTTCCAAAAGTTTCAGAGTTATGGAAAGTATAAGTTCCGCGGGTTCAGAAACCAATGCCAAGTCTAGCCATTAGTGAGTGAGTGAGTATGGTTTTACGCCGCTGTGAGCAATATTCCAGCAATACCACGGCGGGGGACACCCAAAATTGGCATCACACATTGTGCCCATGTGGGGATTCGAACCAGGGTCTAGCGGACGCCTTAACCACTAGGCTTCCCCACTGCCCCTCTAGCCATTAGTAAACGTCACCTAGCTAATTATATATGCAAGGAATGTCGGGTCAGAGGTTAAAGGGCGGTCTCCCAGGAACTGACCAATCAGGAACAAGTACATTGTATTG